TTGCTCTCTCTCGGTGAGGCAAGGGTGGGATGCTGAGCTTCTATTCATTTCTTTTGTAGTGGTTGGATGAGTAATTGGCTACTTAGAATTTTAAGGGTATGAATAAGCACTGCTGGAGAAATCTCTAAGGAGAAGAGAGTAAAAGGGGAAGGAAGAATGAGAGGATTGAAGAAATGAGACAGAGTGCAACCTGGAAAAGTATTAGTGTAAAATAGAGGTGGTAAGGAAATGGTAAATTGTTGAAAATAAAATATTTGGAAGGCAAGATTGGTTATTAAGAAGATAATAGTAGAGAATGATTTTAATGAACTAGACAAACTAGAAAAACAATCTGAAAAAAAGCAGGAACTACGTAAGACGAAAATAAACAGCAATTATTAATAGCAGTTGTCTCTTTGATTTGGATTACGGGAGGGAACACACATACCCAGCAGCTTTATGCATCTAGGTTTTAAATCGGCCTACTCTACCTGAGACAAAGTGGTTTTCCATTAAAATAAACCAGCAGTACTAGTATGGATTAAAAAGAAAGAAAGATGCTATGATCCAGATATTCCTACCCGTGCTATGCACAGATTGGCTTAAAATGGTGCTGATTTGAGCTAGAACTAACTCTGATTTGCTACTGTTGAAAAAGGTTTTGGGCCTCTGGAAGCAAGTCTTGGAGCTATTCATGGGAAGGGAGGTCCTGAAAAATAGGTGTGCAGGAGGAGCAGAGCAGCTGAGGTTCTGCCCTTCTGGCATCTGTTGCAACTGGGGCTAAAGTATGGTAGCAAACACACCCTACCTTCTCCTTCTGACAACAGATGGTGAAAATGAGAGGGCGAATACTCGACCTGGTGTGGGAATTTGCAGGAGCTTAAAAGTAGGCTGGAATACAGAGTAGTGTCCAGCTTGCTGTAGGATTTTTTAGGATGCCAGTTTTTTAAGCATTGTGCCAATTCTGGATCTTTTTACACGTGGGCAGAAAAGCTTCATCAGTGTTGGCAAAAACATTGTTGTCCTCGTTCAGTCTTGCAAACGGAAAATTGCATCGGGTGTCCTGAGTATATGGGCTTCATAGGTGCATGTCTAACGTAAAAAACTCTTGAGAACTTTCTCTTTTTCAGTGAACAAAGTAGTTAGGAATGGGGTGGAAAGACATCCCCTTCACATGACAGAACCACTTCCTTTGTTTCCAAAATATTCCCCTCCCCCCCGCTAGCTAGGTTGTTCTCGGTTACAAATTCTCCGTGTTGGACAGTGACGTGGTTTTATGCTAGTTAAGCATGTTGTTCTTTAGCCTAGTGATTCTTTTCATCTTGTCTGCCCTGAAATCCATGCCAGTAGGGATAGGACATGACCGTGCTTGTAGAGTGGCAGTGACATTCTAGAAGGGATAGATACGTGTTGCTTTTTGGAAGGTGGATTCTCAGTTGAGTTGCGAAGCTGGTATGCAATTGGAAATTCATGGCCTCAACTATATGCTTGCATCCCTTTGAATTTTGGTTTCAGGTTTTCTTTCTTAAAACTGTGATGCTACACTTGGGCATTGCTTTCTGAAAGCTTTCTTCTGTAGCATTTTACCAAAAGAATTGTCGTCGGCAGGGTTTTCTCTGCAAGTTTCCATGCTGTCCTGGTTGAGTAGTCAGCGTCAGTTAGACCTGGCTATTACTGCTTGGATTGGTTGACTTGTCTGCTACTGTTTCATAAATATTGTTTGATTTTTTTTTTTTTTCCTATTTAGGTGTTTAGGAACAGCTTGTCAGTAGTTTATGCTGTGAGTTGTTGACACGGAAAAATAGAAGCAAGAAATCGTCTTGCCTCACCTGTGAGGTTTAATTGCACCTTTGTTTACTTGCAAAAAAACCTACGTAAATGCGCCATTGTAGTTTGCTTTTAGAATACTGTAATTTTTATGTATTATTTTTTACTGCCGTCTTGACTGCTGCGTGTTAGGACCCAAAGACATTTGTATTTGCCTGAAAGGAAGGTGCTTGTAACACCAGCCTTCGCTAGTGTATTGCTATTCAGAATTGCATATGAACATTTGCTTTGAAGTATTTAAGACAAATGTGTGAACGTGCCAATCTGGGTTTAATGAAAGTTGTCTCCTGTGAAAGTTGGTGGCCTGGTTGTCTTAGCGATGTGAAGGAACAAGGCCTTCTTGATACCACACTGTCCTCCGATCTCTAGGTCAATGACTGAAATTTTATGAATGGACCATAATCTTTTTTAAAAATGGTCACTGATCACTTACTTATTTTTGTAGCTACAGTTCTACTGAACCATTATTTAACTTTGGTTATTTTTTACATAGATTGGACTGAACATACCCTTACAGGCAAAACTGTCATGCAGAATCTGTTATGGCAAGCATGGCAGAGAGCAATTTTAGGATTGAAAGGAGTATTTGCATTGTAGAGGTACTTGAATATGCGTTGACATAACTTCACTGTTTACTGTTGTGGTAAAGAGGTTTGAACTATTGCTCCTAGTATTTTGTGGATAAATGGTTGTTCTGTGAATAAATAGTGGACTCTTGTCAGGTAATCCAACACCTTCCTTGAGTGCTAACATTTATTAGAAAAAAAAAATTGAAAAGGAGTTAGTCAATGGTTTTCTGCTATAAATTCCTTTGCATTCAGGAGCACAGTAGAGGAAAACTCTTTAAGAGAATTTTGCTGTGCTGTTGATTACTTGCTGCTCTTATTGGTTGTCTGTTAATTGAATGTGTGTTGTTTATTTTTACTAACACCCCTAGAAGCCCTCAGGGAATATTGAGTGTCACAGAGTGATAAAGCTAATATTTACTGAGCCCTTAAAACAAGAAGGGAGTGGTTGCTTATTTAATGGGGATCTAAACTAGTGTGGAGGATACAGAATACTGTGATATAGTCAGATGGTATTTTAAATTGTACTCTTGGATACTGGTTACTTTTCTGAAAGGGAAGATTTCGGGAAGATTGTATGTATTCCTGCGGTGTTCTTATTCTTACTACATCTTTAAGGATACGACAGGTTAAAAATAATGTCTTTGTAATCTTGATATGCTAACTATTGCGTTTAAAAGAATCTACCGAGTTGGGATTTTTTTTTTTTTGTACTACAGTCTAAATGTAGTGGAAGGTGTCCCTGCCCATGGCAGGGGAGTTGGAACTAGGTGATCTTTAAGGTCCCTTCCAACCCTAACCATTCTATGATTCTAAATCTGTTCTGAGTTTTATTTTGTGAACGTTATTAGTTTCACTGTCACATAGCTGTAGGCAGAAGAATCTTCTCACGATTCATTTTCCATGGTCTTCACCTTTTCCAGTGTGATATAAATAAGTAGGCATACTCATGCTATTTCTAGTTTACTTGCTTTTTTCCCCATTTATTTATTTATTTTTAATTCTCTCAGGACTTGAGTTCAGTGAATTAAATGGAAATGTTGCCATAGTCTTTAATTGATTTTTTGGATTACTTCCTAAATGTATCTTCTGATATCAAAATATATATATGATAGTGATAGGAATATGAATGTGATACAGAAACAAGAAAACACTAAACCTTGGGTTATTTACTTCACTGGTAATTTAATAGTTGGATAAATGTTTGCCTATTCTTACTAGAGCTTTAGTGCTGGGGTTCTGGTGATCATGTTTTCATGCAAAAAAGAGTAAGCTACCTTTTCTTCCTGTGTATATTTGACATTATTAGCATAATTTAGATCTTTGTTAGAGCCTTTCTATTGGTAGAACTTGCCTAGTCTCATTTTTTTCAGAACTACTGGCATTATTTTGCTGCTGCATTTTTAACTAACTGCTCTGACAGCAATTTCTAATAACAATGTGACTCATCTGTTCAGATCCTGAAAAATGGAAATCTGGCAAAAAATTTTTTCTTCTTGCGCATTTTAAGTTTTCTTAGACACTTTAAGGGTTTTGTGAGGACGTTAAGTCTTTTTGTCCCTTATATTTGTAAATAAATATTTAGATTTTTTTTCTGCAATGACTTTATTTTTATATTTTCAGTTGTCATGTCAGCAAGAAATTTGTAAGTGTATAGCCATAAGTCGATGCAGGATGTATTTTATCTACATGACAGTTATTTTTTTCACAGTACAAACTTTTGTATTCTTTATAATTGCACTTCTCTTTACTTTCCCTTCTGTTTTAACCTTAGATTTTGGGTCTTGCTTGCTTCCTTTTCCTTTTCCCTTTTTTTGTTTTGTTTCTTTTGCATGGAGAATTTAAAATGCTAGTGAAGGAGTATAAATGCCTTGCTTTATTACTTTATGTAGATTGGTTGTGTATCCATTTAGCCGTGTGTAGCAAAAGCTGGTTCTTTATTAGGTCAACAGTGTATCAGTCTACTTTCATAAATGCACAAAATATAAATTGAAGAAATTAAATTTCCAAAGTTGTTCTTAAAGGAATGGTTCTGCAAATGTGCATTCTTAATATGAGTTTCTCTTTTTTCTGTGCACAATAAAGTGCTCTTCCTGTCTTAGACTTCACGTAATCTGTGATCCTGAAGCTTTGATACACAGTGGCAGGAATCCTGCCCCACTTTGGAGCCCCTGTGGGACTCCACACTGTGCAGATCTCTGTTCCCTCCCAGAAAGTTGGTCTGGGATCATGGTGTTCTGTACCACGGAAGGACCCTTGTTTTGGAAATGAATGCTTTTTAAAAGTAATAAGCTCTGCAAGTATGGATAGTTTATGACTTAGATTTATGTCAATTTGAGCATACTAATGATACCTCATTCAAATATCTGTAACATTTTGTAATATGACTATCACAGCATCTTTGAAATACAAATGAAGTATGCACCTTGCTTCTTTTTGCAAAAGTTAGTAGCCTTTGCCGCCACCTCTTACGCGGAAACTGTCTGAAATGCTTGTCAATCCAAATCCATGAGCACTGTTAGCATGCATTGATTTAAAAAGTGTTTAACTATGTTTCATACTTCTGGTGTAACATCAAGTTTTTTGCTCTTTAAAATGACAATTCCATTTGATGCTGTTCTGTTTTAGACATCCTTAGCTACACGTTTTGCCCAAGAAACATTTGGCAAACAGTACAAGCAAACCATAGGACTGGACTTCTTCTTGAAAAGGATAATACTGCCAGGTAAGAGAATAAAAACTAACACTGAAAGGTTGGGTAGCACTAAGACTTACAGAAACAGATTCTTCAAAGTAATGTGTAGTAAATAAGCTTAGTACAGTGCTTCTTATGGCAAAGCAAATTAGGTTGTTCAGAGAAAATTTTGTTATTATGTTCTTGCCAGGTGACAAAGCGTTATGTGTTTGCAACTTGTATGTTTAAGTAAAACACTGAATTCAAATAAAATGAATGGTGTCTGTAATCATGATTTGTATTATCTCTACTTCAGCGTACTTGCTGTCCATGTGGATAGTGTAACACTCAACAATGAAATGGAACTTTAAATACCTTCATTGAAAAAGTATGTGTGCTTTGAAAGAAATAGATTTTTAATTTTTTTTAATGAAATACACCACTTGTATTTGGGTTGTGTGAGAGAAGCATAATGCAGCTATGGAATTGCAGTGCTCTAATATGTGAATGCTGTTTTATGCAAGGCAGCATGAAATTGCTGGCATTTAATAGACCACTAAAATTTAGGGTCCCTCGGCACTCATAAAAATACAGTTTGAGCATTCAAGATGTTTCACTTCACGATGGCAAAGAAACTATTTAGATGCCTGTTGCAGCACACTGCATTGAAAATGCAAAGAAATAATTAAAAAAGAATAGTTGCTGGTGGAAGTTTGTCTCTGAACAATTGGGGGTTTGAAATAAGTATTTTCATTGGTTTGTGGTTGTTCAGTTTCCAAGTGTGAAAGTATTTAATTAAATGCATTTTCTTCTGGCTTCAGAAATCAGAAGAAGTTAGGAAAAGTATGCATAATTCTTAAAAGTTGTAATGAGATTTGATAAAGTTGATGCAAGTTGTGTAGTTCTGTCTTTTTTTTCCTTGTGGAGAGCAGGTAGTGAAGCAGACCCAGAAATGAAGCTTTTTAGCTGTAACCTGAAGTTGTAAGAAAATATATACAGTTCTTGAATTTATTTTGTTAAAACTATATTGCCAGTAATTTCTTGATTATGTTTATATATTTTCTTAAGTGAAACCGAATAAACTTTCAGACTATTCCTGCATTTACTATTTTGGTTTGGCCATTTTGGTGTACCTTTTTTAGTATCTGATGAGTGATAAAGTATTAAATCTCGGTGCTTATTTCTCCATAAAATCAACAGAATAATTTTTTTATTGTCCTGCTCATGCCTCTAAAAACACCAGTGTGCATAATACTAAACAGCAGTACTTGCAAGTGGAATGTGTGCACAAATCATGCAGTGTGCATGCTGAGAACTTGTATTTTGCAAGTTTTTTTCCAGCTGTTAAGCATACAGAAGCTATTAGTACATAACTGGGACTCTAAATATTCTTGTTGAGCAGAAAACTTGGAAAATTGTCAACTATAGATTCATTCATGTTTTACTGTCTTCTAGTTTATTTTGTAATAAAATCAGAATATAGATGAAACCAGCACCGAAACAACAAAGTCTGTGCATCTATTCTCCTCATTTATCATTAAAAGTTTTAGTAATGTTTATGGAATGTATTCATGTTCAGGAAGAAGCATTTTTCTGTAGATTGTCATTCTGGTTTTGCCTATGCCTATATATGTGTTTAGGCATATATGGATTTCTGTGTCTTACAGGTAAGCTGAACTGGTGGTGGGAAGAGAGGGAAGGAAGAGCAGAGGGAGGGAGGTAGAATTTCTGAACACTGAAATGGGAAGCATTACTTAAGTATGCGGATTTTTCTAATTTCTTGATTAGTTCTGGGTTTGCTGAGCTGCTATGTTTGCTTGAAAGGTGAATTCATACTGCTGCATAGAAATTATAATGTGCCGTAGGGAAAAAAGCCTCGATTTCTCTTATTTACTAGGAGAATTGATGAAGAACTATGGTTCAGTAGTTGAACTTTTTCTTCTTTAAATGTAAGCAAATATTTCAGAAGTTAAAGTTACTGGTTTCTAAAATTGCACAGAAGTTTACATTAGGCCACATTAAAAATACATTTTAGCTTGTAAAATACTGGGTTTTTTAAAATTTTGTTTTCTGGCTTTTTAAAAATAAAGTGGTTTTGTCTTCAGTTGTTTTAGTAATTGATGCAGTTTTGCAGTGAGAAAAGGGAATGTATTACGTGGTGAAACAGTATAGTTTAATAAAAATAGTAAATCCCTTGATCAGTTTTGAACAGTGTGACTTTTAGTGTTCAGCTGTTGACAAATTCTTTCCATGCAGTTTGTTAAAAGTATTTTTTTTTTTTTTCAAGCGCAAATGAATTTCAGTATATTTATTGATGTGGTATCTTGTATAGTCTGGATGCAACCACGGTGTAGATTTTACTGCTTAAATAGTGTATCTGTTAGTCAGAGGGTCTGCTGATAGAGATTCTTAAGAGCCATAGTGGAACACTTTCAGGAAGGTTGTGGGTGCACTCCAGTAAACAGGATTCTTCTGTTAAAAGGATTTTTTTAAGTCTTCAGTGCAAAAAGTGGGCAGACTCGTGTTTTTAGTTCCATCTGGACTGTGCTGCACTTTAAGTAAGGTTAACCAGTGCACAGAGTATACTCCTGCAGGATCACTACTGAATCAGCCTGGTGGCCTCAGTTCATACCAGAAACAATCTAGATGGTTGCACTGTGTTGCCTCAGTTATTTTAAATTCTCACTTGTGTGCATTTTCTACAGAGTAAAGAAGTGCTAGTGTTTCCTTGTTCCTTATCAGTGTATTACTTACATTTTTATGGGATTCTTCAGTATTTATTGGTATGTTAACCTTGTTTCTAAGAACTGTCTTACTATGCGTGGTTTCTTTTTGTTATGTTGTCATTCTTCACTTTGTATATTCTTCTTAAATCAATGAAAAAGTAGAAGATTTCAAACTCTTTGCAGAAAACTTCATGTGCTGCTATCATAGTTGTTAATTTGCTAGGCAAATTGTCTGATGTTTTTCCTTCTGTCAGAGTAATCCTAACATCCTTCTTTCTCCCCCTAAATCAGTCTGAGCACAAAGCAAATATTACAGGACCTAATAGAAGAAAAATAAAAAAGGGAAAATGAAGCATTTTGCACTGGAGATAATCAGCATGAATTTCAGTAGTTAGCGAGGTCTTAATTAAGAAACACTTCACCTTAAATGAACGTTACAATTTTTCCCAGTTTCTTTTTTTCTGTGGTTAGTGAAGGAAAGTAAATAATTCAGAATAGTAGATTTTAAGTTGAACAGTCACTGTTAATTTAACTTCCTGCATTAAAGTTTCTCAGATAATTTCATGCCGTTATCCAGATAGCAAGCACAGTATGCTGTGTGTGATTACTAGTCTTAGGAGGAAAAATGAGGTTAGAAAATTTTTAAAGCATTTGAACGCAAAATTACGCATCTGAAAATAGTTGAGTTTCAAAGTGATTATATTTATAAAGCTTTCTTCGAAATAGCTGGCTGGCAAGAATGACCTGGTAAATTTCCAGTAGAATACATACAACCAAGTTAGGGGCAGAATACTGCAGCATGGTGAGCTTTGGAGCGTGGTTTGTTTACCCACTGGGGATGCACAGTCATCTCGGATTGCAGATTCACACCAGTTTATCCATGCCACGAGGATCCACGTTTTATGGAAGACTTCCCTGCATTGTTTGCAGTCACTTATGTTCTGAGCTTTAAAAATAATTAATTAATAGGTAGTATGTGCCCTGTCAAATAGGCTTTTTAGTCTGTGAAAGACTGCCTTTAGTGAATTGGAGTGTTTATGATATATTTACTAATGTAGAAATTGTAGAAATGTACTTATATTTACTTATGTAGAAATTCTTTATTTTAGTATTAGATAAAACTCAGTCTAGCTTAAAAGTACTGTGAAGTGATCATTTCACCTTCATCTGTATTATTTGAGACCAAAGCAGCAGTTTAGGAAATCTGTGCTTTCAACCAGATTAAAGCAAGATGCATCGTAAAAATATGATGTGGTATATTTAATACCACACATAGCATATATTCAGCTATATAGTTCTAATTTGCTGTTTATATTCACTGAGCGCTGGGATATATTTCCATGGAGCACACTCCCTTGCATAAGTAACGTGTGTAAGTTATAAACTGATGGCTGAATAGTTCACGTTGTGTAAAATAAGGTTGTTAATAACATAAAAGAGAGGAATTAAGAGTATATCTTTCTTAGCAGCCCAAAATAATATGCTCTTTTTCATTTGACTCTCAGTTGTTGTGATGTGGAATTTATTGCCTTTTTTGTAAATCTAGGCATAAAATTAATAGGCAATTATGATTATTTGTGTGTTTGTAGAACTGTAAGTCATATGAGTTGTATGTAAATTAGAAAAAAACTCATCAGACCTTACTGTACTAGTTTGGTGTTCCCAGGTAATCGGTACAGTTTTGAAAATAGTTCTTACCATGCAAAATGAGCCAAATTATACTTTAATATGGTTTTATGCCAAATTATACTTTAATATGTTTCTATGCATGTGGTGACATACACTGCTGTGTGTACGTTTAATCTGTGAGTTTGAGTTGTTAGCTTGCAGAATATGTATGACTTGTAGAATATTAAATTTTTTGTATTTACTTCTGATATTTTGTCACTTACCTGTTAGCAATTTCAACATAGCTTAAGGACTGCTTAGAGTAGCAGAGAAGATCTATTCTTGGTCTAGATTCTTCAGAGATGAAATTATGTAAATCGTGTCCTGCTTTGGGGCGGTGGGTGGAGGAAATAATCACAGGTTGCCTCCTCAACTTAGATGTGTGTCAGTATTTCCATCTTCAGTGTCAACTATGTAATTCTTTAACTGTACAGTATGAAAAGCATTGCTACCAAGATGCAGTTACTATGCAGATTTTCCCTGCTTCTAGATTTGTAAAGAAAATTTTGAGAGGAGGTGGGGAAGGGACACAGAGTATTAAATAATGTGGTTAAATTGGTGTTAATTGTATTATCTTTCATTTCCAAGTACCATGCTATAGAATTTTCTCTGTGAAGTTTGACATGTTTCTTCAGGGAAGTCTGTTATATAATTTCTAGTCAGGAGTGTTATACTTCATGCAACTCAAATTCTTTGGTGTTAATGTTAGATCTGTTAATATCCAGTTTTAGCTTAACTATAGATTTACTGTGTCTTGATGACTTAGCTGGACATAAGGGACTTTTTTCCAAATGATAGTCATCTTTGTGTTGAAATGTAGTGATTGTTCATTGTATACTGGTAAAAAGCTATTGCTGTTGATATGCTAGGGCTGTATTACCTGCTCTGGTAATATATCTTTAATTTTATTTGTATTTAAATTTTCCAAGTTGCACAATATCTATATAATTTTCTTTTTCAGGAAATTTGAATGTTACTCTTCAAGTGTGGGATGTAGGGGGACAAACAATAGGAGGCAAAATGCTGGATAAATATATTTATGGAGCTCAGGTACAGTATAAATGATAATTGTATCTATAGTAATTATATAAAATTCATTAAAATATTTTTCGTAAAATTATACATGTCTTATGGGGTGTTGTTTTGCAAATCTCAAAAATATTGAATTCCTAAGCTTTATTGATAGTAATACACAGGTCTAATTTTGGTATGTAGTTAATTATTTAGGGCTGACTTAAAAAGCAAAGGAGGACTGTGCGTTTGTAGATCTGAATAACTCTCAAGAGCAGATGTATGTTTCCATGCTTTGTGTCCTGAGTTAAGGAAAGCAGTCATAGTAAATAGTAAAGGCTATTTGGATATCCACATGGTAGATATAGTGGCTGCTTTTAGAACAGATGCCTCCTGGGGGGAAAAAGTAGAAGGAGGAAATTAAGAGCAATCCTACACCATTAAACTCATACATGCAGTTGGGGTTATAAGAGGGCAAACAAAAGGAGGCAACCAGGTAGCTAAATATTTTTGCAGAACTCCTATCCAATGAAAATTAATTTTATCTTGAGGTTAACTAAGCAACTTAAAGTGAATGGTAGGATTAAGTAAGAGCTAAATATTATAACAGTATCTTGAGTTATGAGATGATTTAGGAGGATGTAGTATGCGCCAAATACATTAACATGAGTGATCTCAAAATGTACTTTGTTTTTTAATTTTGAGTTTGTAATGAGAAGAATAGGCATAACATGTTTTATTATATAATGTTATATTTATATGAAAAGAAAACAAACACACCTATTTTTCCCCCAATTCTTTAAGCAATAGGAATCCTAAAACTTTATATTGGACAGAAACTTTGTACTAATAAGTACAGCACAAGAATGGCTTGGGAGGTTAGGGTTTGTTAGTTAATGGGATAAAGACAAACTTGTCAATTTAATATTTTGTCACTTCCCAAAAAATGTGTGAATGTTTGTAGCTGTTGCATCTGTTTTATAGAGTTTTCTTGGTTTTTAATAAAAAAACGTTTTGCTGCCCTGTTAAAGATCTACCAAGCAACAGGAGAAAGTGGCTTCCATGACAGAGGGAATTTGATTAATCACAAATTGTTGCCATATGCCCAATGTAAACTCAGTGAAGGAAATAAAAGGCTGTTAACCTTTTTTGTATTGAGTTTGGTGATAAACTTAGGAGTTTCTTATCAGCAATAGCAGGTCAAAAAGTTAATACTAGTGCCCCAAAGTAGTGAAAAAGTTGATATCAGTAAGCCTAAAGTTACAGAAGTTTAATTTTAAGTCATTTAGAGCACATTAAAAAAAAAAAAACCCAAACCCTACATTCAATTTCTTCTCCTTTAATCCTTCCCCACCCTCATTGTAACCCTAAATTTTTTTTTAATGATCTAACTGCTGTTCTCTCTGCCAACGTTGGCATGTATTGCCAATGTCTGTAATTGGCTTCTGATTGTCAAAGCTGATTTGTAACACTTTTCTCTTAGCAACTGTTAAAGACGCAGAAAACTATTTTCATCTATTCTTGAATGGTCATGAATAGTTTGGAAAGGCACTGCTTTCTGCTTATTTCTAGGCAGAAGCTTATTTCATGTTGTACATCTGTAGCTTTTTAGAAGAAAGATAAAGTAGAACAAGTAGGAGTATTTAGAAAGAAAAAACATTAAGTATGTATAAAAATTCCTGTGAATGAAGAGCAAAGCAGACAGAAAGTAATTGAGAAGATCTAGCATGGAATTAGCAAGGGTAAATTGTTCCCAACGAGCTTGATTGCTTTCTGTGGTTAGATGATTGGCTCTGTGGAGAGCAGTAGATCCCATTTACCTTGACTTCAGCAAGACCTTTGACATAATCTTCCATAATATTATTACAGGCAAAATATAGAGATAGGTCTGGATGGGTGGACCATAAAGTTACTGAAAAACTAAATGAACAGCTGGACTTAAAGGGAGATGGTCCATAGCTCGATGTCTTACCAGTTCCTGGTATTCCTTAGGGGTTGGTACTGCAGTCATGTCTTATTAATTCTTTGAACAATGGAACAAAACATTGTTTGTAAGCTTGCAAATGGCACCAAACTGGGGAGGAATGGTCATTGTGCCAGAGGGAAGGGCTGCTATTGAGAGAGACAATGACCAGCTGAAGGAATGGCCCAACAGAAACCTTATGAAGGTCACTGAAGATAAATGCAAAGTCCTGCACCTGGGACAGAATAACCTTATGGAGGCTGGGACTCAGCTGTTGAGGAATCAACTGTAGAGCATCCAGTGAAGGGGCCACAAAGCTGATTAATGGACTGGAGCATCTCTCCTATGAGGAAAGGCTGAGAGAGCTCGAACTGTTCAACCTGGAGAAGAGAAAGCTCAGAGGGATCTTATCAGTCTATAAATACCTGAAGGGAGGGTGCAAAGAAGACAGAGCCAGGCTCTTTGCAGTGGTGCCCAGTGACAGGACCAGAGGCAGTGGGTACAAACTGGAACACAGGAAGTTTCATCTGAACATCAGGAAACACACTTTCACCGTGAGGGTGCTGGAGCACTGGTGCAGGTTGCCCAGAGAGGTTGTGGAGTCTCTGTCCTTGGAGATACTCAAAAGCCATCTGGACATAGCCGTGGGCAGCTGGCTTTATCTGACGCTACTTGAACAGGGATGATAGAATAAAATGACCTCTAGAGGTCTCTTTAAACCTCAGTCATTCTGTGAAATGGCTTCGGAGAAAAGAAGGTGGGGGTCCGGCTAGAAAAAAAAAAAACAGTGGAATGGGAGTCAGCAATGAACCCTTGCTGAAAGTACTGGACTGCATTAGTAAGAATGAAGTAGGCAGATTGAGGAAAGTGATCATTATCTTCTCTGACATTTTGGAGGCTATATTTGGAGTACTGTGTTAATTTTTAGGTTCCCCAGTTCAAAAAAGCCTTTAAAATATTGAAGAAATTCTAGTGAAGGTTGCTACAAAAAAAAAGTATGTGTACCTATGATGTGTTGAACTAGCTCAGTGTGTGTGGTACAACTGGCATTTTAAACATCTTGTTTCAAGCTATACACATACACATAGAGTAGATTATTTGAATGAGTTGCAGAAATTGTGTTCCTTCTGCATGTATGCTCCAAATCTAAATAATTCAAAAGTAAAATACAGGTGTAGAGTAGTTTGCAGCATGCCTACAGTATGCATCATGCTTTTATCCAATACTTGCAGATGCCCATGGCCTTGAATAGACTTTTATCTGGATGACCATCGTGAAATTCAGAAATTGCGAGCAGCTGAATTCTTAGTTTTGTGCTCAGAGATCCAAATGTAGGGTAGACCTACTTATAAAATATTAAGACCAGCTGGAAATGGTAGTTTTGAGAATCTACAGCAACTGAAAGAGTTATCTTAATAGCAAGTCTGCAGTTCCCTTGATCTCTATGGAATTTGATCGGGATACTGGGGGGAGTAAGTGGAGCATCCATCTATGCTTCGCTGAAAACCTTACCAGTAGAGGTTTCCTTCTCTTTGAATGAGAGCTGTATCAATTCTCTTGGATAGATCTTTTGGTTAAGTAACTGTTAAGGTGCCATTTTTTGACTGAAGTATGTGATTTCTTGTGCCATGTTTTAAAATAAGAGTACCAGATTTGAGAATGGGAACCTATTTAATTTGCCTGTGTGGTTACAGTTGGAGAAATTGCAGTTCACTTGTCTTGAAGCAGTTGCTTTTTTTCTCCTCTTTGTTTTTCTCTGGTGTTGCTCATCCAGAACGATACAGTTGTGGCATCCCGCCTTGGTAGTTGAATTTCACTGGTGGGTCAGAAGAACTTTGCAAGCTGAGGGGGAAAAAGAGGTCTTTTCACCTGTATAATTAGCATTTTTGCAGATGTGCAAGCTATCATAATGAAGTTACTCTTTGCTAAAATGAATATTCTGTGACTAGAAAAAAAATTTAGAACTTTTGTCTGACATATTTCATGAATATTAATGAAAATTTGAAAGTTAATTTAGTTCCTTCAAACTAACATCAGTCATAGGATGAGGGCAGCAGAGGATAAACCTGAAGAAGAAAGCATATGGTTTTAATTAGCATTTTGTGTAGCTTGCTTTTATTGTGACAAATCTTGATATAAACTTGACACCTTTGAAACATTGATTGTCTAGAGTGAATGTATGGCCTGGGTACAACACTTCCATAACAGCAGTTCTGCTGCTGTTCCAATGGTAAGTATTTCAGAACCGTTCACATCTCTTACCTGTAATTGCTGCCCCTACCCACATATCTAGTTTAAAGTATCTTTAAGAGCTGGCGGACTCTACCACATAAATTGGCTTGTTAATAGAATAAGAGTAGTGCAGACTCTACCTTCTCCGGAGACCAGCAAATAATTTCTGCAATCGTTTCGGTTTCTAGTGACCTATTTTTAAAAATACTCTATAATTCCAAAACAAAAAGCGCTCACATATGCACTAATGTGGACAAAATGTCTCTCTTACTTGAGTGCAATTATGCAAGCAGGGACTATTTGCCACTTTCCTGGAGACTAGAAAATGAATGTGCTGTTCTCAGCATGTTGTCCTCCGTATGTTTCAAACCTTTTTCATGGCAGGAAAATGCACTACTTCTGTGTAAAAAGGCCAGTGTTAATTTTCCACCTTAATTCTTCATGCATAATAGGGAAATAATAGCTTTTATACTATATACTCCTTCTGTACTCTATATACTGTAGGTTTGTGTAAAATACAATGTGTTTTTGTGAAAGCAATGATGTGATTTCTATGTTAAATAAAAAGGTGAAATTGAACTTAGCTATGGAGTTATGCCTAGTCCTTCATTAATTGTGTTGTACTAAGTTGCTTATAGAGTGCTGTAGTGGCAAATATTTAAGCAAGAAATATTCTTTATGACCTGGATGCCATGCTGCTGCTTTTCGCATCTCTCAGATGTCATACCTGCCATCTTTGGTTTTAAGTGTAGCAAATACTGACAAGATAAAAAAAAAAAAGAATGCTTAAGGAAAGAATGTGCTTTAGTTCATGGAGAAGGGGACCAAAAGGAAGTTAGGTGAGCTGTAGTTGTGAACTTTGTTCAATGATTTCTTTCACAGTAAATCCACCGTGAGTACTCTTTTTTTCCAAAGGTGTGGGTAGGTTGCAGTTGGCTAGAGCACATGCAGCAGAGTAGCATTTTGATGAAGAATTAGGTAGGAACAGGGTTGGCCAACCTTAAATGCTTAGATTCTATTGACTTGAACTCTGATTAAACACTTCAGACTATTTGGACCATCTTCAGCACTGCCCTGCTTTTCTGCAAACTGGTGAGAGAACTTGACCACTGGTGAAAGAAGTATGCCGTGTGCTTTTTCTCATTTACAACTTCCAGCCTTATGTCTGGCTTTTTATTTTTAACCTTTACAATGCCTGCCCTTTAGCTTGAGTTTCTTCTTTTCCACTGAGCGTTTAATAACGTCAGTATGTCCTTCCTAGAGCAAGGTTTATATTGCGAAAGACAAATATATACACACACATGCATTTGGGTAGTTATAAAAACAGTCAGAAGTTAACTGTGATGTAAGATATTGAGGAATAAATTGTATAAAAATTGGAAGAAGGAAGTGGATGTTTAATGTTAGATTTGATTGGTAAAGGAGGGAAGATAGCAAGGGAAAAGGTGGGTTTCATAATTCTTAATTTCCTTGAAGGAACTGGTGAAAGCTAGTCCTCAGAAATTGATAGCAGCCATGTAATTATAAGGAACAAGAACTCATTTTGCCAAGCAGTTGATGGCATTGAAGGAGAAAAGAGAGAGAGACATATCTGTATTGCTGTCATAGGGAAATAGGAATTGAAGGGATCTCAGTAGATCTGTTGCCCTCCCCCAAAGCTGTACCTGTATAATGTGTGTTTCATTTTTATGGACCTTTAGAAATCCTCCCTGAAGGTGGTGCATTTCAAAGCTTCACTGTTCTTTTTGTCTACATGTTTTTTTCTAGTATGTACCCTTGCTATTATTTTCTTGCTCTAAGTTAAACCTATTGCTACATGTCGTATTGGTCACAGAATTGTAAGAAAGTTCAGGATGGAAGGGATCTTAGGAGGTCTGTAGTCAAACCTCCTGCTCAAAGTAGGGTCAGCTATGACATGGGACTAGATTGCTCAAGGCTTTATCCTTGCAGACCTCTGCTGAACTTTATTTTATTGATGCCTTGAGGGGCCTAAGACTGGAGGTATTACTTTAGATATGATCTAACAAGTGCTGAGTAGGTGGGAATAGATCCCTTGGTCTAGTGGCTGTGCTTCTGCTAATACAGCCCAGGGTCTCGTTGGCCATCCTTGCTGCCAGGGAATGTTGCTGGCTTGTATTTGGCCTGCTGTCTGCCAAGACCTGCAGGTCTTTTTCAGTTGCCAGTTAGTGCCCCCAGCCTGTATTGTTTATTCCCCCTCAGCTGCAGGGCTTTGCGTTTGTTCTTGTTGAATGGTGGAAGGTTCCTGTTCTCCATTCCCTGAACATGTCTACTTACCTCCGAATGGTATCCCTGCCCTCAGCTGTATTGGCAGGTCCTCCCACTTTAGTGTCACCTGCAGACTATGTCTAAAAGCACATAAAAAGAGGACTCCTGTTACCTTCTTTTGAAACTTTCACCAGCATCACCATGCCATCAGTCTCATGTTTGTTGAAACAGTCCAACTTTTTCTGGTGTCACTCATGGTTTCTAAACCTCTGATACAGTTACTGGTCGCTTCTAGTCTACCCTTTCTTGACATTCAATGTCGAAAGCTGGATACATTATTTCACTTGGAATTTTTCATGCCTGTGTGATATTTGCCTTTTGCTACAAAATAAGCTTGACATTCTCAACTGGGATGTACTAGAACTCCTTGATCCTATTGTATAGAACTGGCTACAAAGCCAGATGTTTCCTGTTGTGCAGTAGATTATTGCTTCTTGAACTTGTCATGGTACTTACTGAATTGCATCCTTTTATTTTAGATTGTTTCTCATTCTATAATCTAAACTTTCCTCAAATATTCTTACAGTCTCGACCAGTTTGTTGTCATCTGTGAAATGAATTTAGTAAGGATGCACTCTGTTTTATGCTCTAAGACACTCTTCATGAAACAATCATGTCAGGCTGGGCCCAGAGAAATGTCTGAAAAACTTGACTTGAAAAAAATCTTTTCTGTTGGCATTGGGTCATTGAACTAGTTAATTTTGTGTGCATTGTATTGTTTTCTTAGAATATTTGTGAAAATTTAGTGTGAGGAACAGTATGCACTTGTAGGGATTATTTTTCCAGATGTGAATGCCATGAGAACCTGTGCAACAGAAGCCAATTCTGACTTTATTCCTCATTTACAAGATACTTATTTTACTGGGATGTAGTGGAAGGCAGGGACAGAAGACCCAATATTTGGGAGGAGAGTGATTTGTGAGAGCTAATCTTAGAATTATGGAGTGGAGAAGGTGGGCTTTTGGGCTGTTAATAGGCTGTGCTTTATAATTTTGGATATTGGCTCTGAGGGAATCCTCAGTAATGTCTGAGTATTTGTTACTTTTAGCCTGGCCCAAAACTTTTGAAATTTGTGGGACTCCCTTCTTTTTGACTTCTGACCACATTTTAGATTTCTCCTTTGAAAGTTTAAAGCTTGTCAGTACTTCTTGTTTGTCTTCAACGGTGAAGGAAGGGATCTGGCCTTTCTTCCCAGAGGAAGCAGAGACACAACAGTCGGGCACTGTGTAGAAATCTACGATTGAACTGCTTTTATTTTCCTTTTTTTTTCCTTTTCAAAAGCTACAAGTAATGTTATCTAAAATAAAAGTCCTTTTCCAGTGTGATTTTTCTCTTACTATTAGTGTGAAGTGCTTTTTGCATTTTTCAGAAATGGTACTCAGTTTGGAATATTTCTAATATAACTAATCGTGGTCTTTACTGAATTGTCATTTTTGTTTTCTGCCCTTGTAGGCCAGTTAGCGTCTGAATTTGGAACGCATGGAATGCAGGAGAAATACTGTAATAAAATGTGCTTATTACAGAAGCTTATAATTCCTTTGATTATTCCTCAGAAGAGACAATACCATTATTTGTTAATGCTCTGTTTTATGATGATAATACTTTAGATTGATGCAAATTTTACCATTTTCAAATGCTTTTTATAACCTGTAACATTTTAAATATATCTTTTTATTTAGGGTGTTCTCTTGGTTTATGATATTACCAATGGCCAGAGCTTTGAAAATTTAGAAGACTGGTATAATGTGGTAAAAAAAGTGAATGAAGAATCAGAAACACAGCCACTTGTGGCCTTGGTTGGAAATAAAAGTAAGTTGTTCATACTTAAATATTAATAGAAGTACTCTGGATGTTGCTCTCCATTGAAGAAATGGCACAGGGCATATATCTTTAGTAAAATGAAACTGAATACTGTCTTGGGTGTTGCTCTGTACAGATGATAAATTTGGGTGTACCTCAGGAGTCTCTTTCTGGGCAGTTGGGGTTGAGGGACTTGATGCATCATGCTTTGTCTAGCCTGCAGCCTCTATGCCTGTGTTTTCTTTACTTGGAGAGCAGCACACAGGAGTAGAGAGATCTCTCTCACCCATGTTTGAATTTGATAGGGCTTCAGGATATAGCCATGACATGCCTCTAGAATGGAGAACTGGAAAGCATTCCTGGATCTAATAACAGGTATATTTCATGGTTCTGTATGTCAAGAGACTGCTAAATTAAGTACTGGTATATATTATTTAAAATAACTACTCTACACACTAGGCATAATATTTGAGTTGTTTAATAGGTGATTTTTTGCATGTTATCTGTAGTTTTGCACAAGGTTACGTATTTCCTGTTGTTCTGGATTTTTCTAACCTGTCCTCTTTTTGATAATTTAAATATGATACAATGGTTTTCCTCTGACCACCAAAAGATGCCAGTTTAAATAACCATCACCTAGCTAGTTTCCTAATTAGATGAATTCGAAACTCCACTATTTCCAGCTAAGAAATCTTACAGAAACATCCTTATTAGCATATCCGAGGTCCTGATCTAGGACTGTCTTACCTTTTTTCTGTTGAAGATGATAACAGCAACATAAAGCAATTTTAGAAACAAAGTGGTGGAAACAGATACAGATTTTTTTTAAACAATATGAATATATTTTTTTGAAGAACAAATACCAGATTTTATTTTTTTTTTTGACTTTCCAAGCAATTTATGTTCATGTCACAATGTCCATATCGTGAACAAACCTGGAAAAAAGACCTCATCTAAGAAGTCAGTACTGAGTAAAAGCATTGGAAAACAATGTAGAGACAAGGTTTTCATTCAGCACCATTGACTGTGGTGTTGCTACTGTGATGTTGTAACATTTTATGATATTAATTATGAAAGACTACTTATTTTCTGGGAAGAAAACAGAGAAGCTCTTAGTTACAATATATAAATAGCACTTCTGAAAGTATAACATAGACAGTGTTGTACTCTAGCAGACTAGAGTCAATAATACAGATTCTGTTGGAATTCAAATGAAAGCTATTTTTCACTGATTTATATTTTTCCCTGAAATTGGACTTCCTAGCTGGAGTTCTGCAAATCTTACAAAGTATTTACCGTAAGGTACATTGTAGCATAGGATTAATAATGTTTTTTTGCTGGAATGACACCATAGACATAGAAAATCAGACACAGGTTTCTATTTGAAGGAGCTTTATCTCTGTTACATACCTAAGTATATATATTTTTCTCATATACATGCCTGGAATTCTTTAAAATCCAACTATTTCCTTGGGAGTATCTGCAGATAGAATATGGTTTTGTAGGTGGGCTTACAGATAAAGGCTGACACTGGCTAGTGAAAGGGCTTTCATGCAGCTGAAGGAACAGTGTGCTTGCTACTTCGTTTTCCTTCAGAAGCTGTGTATAAGGAAAAAAAGCTAACTATTGCTCTCACGTGATCCTAAGGATGTTTGTTGTTGTAGTACATGTCAAGCATGCAGGAGATGCTGCTTACAGAGGTAGTTTTTTTGCTTTATTTCAGTATGATAAAAATTAAGCTTTTAGAAGTGTATTGCTTTTCTGAATTCTCTAATAGGAGAAAAATGTCTAGGGGGTCTTCCACCTCAGTACTTTAATGGTCTGTGAGAGTTAACTGTGGTCAGACTCCTGTTACTACATAAATAGAAAACAAGATGTTTGTATAGAAGCACGGTGTTGACTCTTGCATATTATGAAAGGATAATGCTACCAGTACTAACAAGTTCCTCAGGTGGCATCACGGTGTTCAGAACAGCTCAACTGCTTTGCTCACCAAGTGATGAGACACTCGTACACAGTGCAAGAGCAGTAATAGATTTAAAGCCAAGAAAGGCCATTTGCTGAACTGATGAATTTATTTGACCTCATGCATCATACAGGAGGAATACTGTCAGTCAGTAGTTTCTGTCTCAGGATTGTTCTTGGTTTTTGAGCTATACATGTCTTTTAGGAAAAAATGTCCAGGTATGCTTAATTAAAGACTATAAACATCTCTATCCACAGGCAAGTTATTCTAACACTTAGCTTTCTTTTTGATAAAAGTTTTAAAAAATTGCCAAGAACGTGGTTATTTTCATTCATAGCAACTGAAAAGCTTTGTGCCACTGTTCAGATACCTAGATAAGAATTTGGAAGCCCAACTGAAACCATCCATTTTGAAACTTTAAATTTAAAGGCTTAAATTTAGTGCTGCCCTTTTAAGTATAACTAGCTTGGGCTTAGGCTCTCATTTGACTGTTTTCACTTACTAATACTGTCTGAAAGAAATGCGTTTTTTTTCCGTTTTTGGGGTAAACACATCTGGGATCTCTGGTGTAGTGCTTCAGAAATAGGAATGAAGCTATAGTTAAACAAAAAAAAAAGCTTGGAAGAAAACAATGGAAAATATTTTTCTTGCAATGAAATACAGAAAACTTTACACAGGAATCCTATTAGATGAGAATAATTTCCTTGGGTAATTTTGTCACTGAAGGTTTTTTTTTTTTCATATTCATTGTAAGCCATAAGATCTTAATAATCCTAAAATTTACAGTTGATGTTGAATCTTAAATTTAAGTTTCTTTGTAACTTTGTGGCATTGTAATCTTATTAAATATAAAGTGTATTTGAAATGTGCCTATTTCTTTGTTGCTAATACCACTTCATTTTTCAGCAGAAATAAGGGAGTAAACCTTATTGTTAAGATTAACAAATGTTTTTGAGTTTCAGTGCAGTAATTTAAAACTTGTATAGATATGTTGCTGTCATACAATATAAGTCAAAGTATATAGGATAAATTGACTATAGTTATCAAGTGACTGAATTGTATTTTGTGCACTTAGAATCTTTGCTGAAATTTGGTATTGATGAAGTTCAGTAATCGCAATGGACCTTTCTAGTCATTAGTGTGAATTAGAGAGATTTTACTGTGTTTTGTGTGACTGATCTGTTTCTTTCCTTTCTACCTTGACTACTTTATATATTTTCCTCTGCAGTAATCTATAAGCAGACTCCTCAAGTGTCGTACCAACATTTTCACTGGATATATTGTAAACAAAAATTAACCCAGGTTGCATGGGAGCTACACTCATTTTGATTTATAGCTACCGCGATGGTCTTAGGGCAGTGGTTATCTGTAGCTTATATAGGGGGTAGGAATTATCAGGTACCAGTGTATAGTGGATGGATGAATGATTTCTATTCTTAGAGATATTAACCAGATCCACTCCTCAATAAAGACTAATAACTCAGATTTTTAAACAGTCCTCATGACAGATGAGGGCACGGAGGAGAATGCATCAGCACTAATTAAGAATGTTGACCGTTTGTTCGTCTTAGCCATGATTAATTGATCTTGGAGTGCTATCTCTCAACAGGAAGTGGTATGCTGTTACGCTGTGAAGTTTAAAGGTTACGTTTTAGTGTACCCTTTAACTTGCATTTACATACAACATAAAATGTTTTTACCTATCTTATCTGAGGGTAGAAGGAAACATTTTTCAGCCCAGTTACAAATGAATGTTTGGTGTACTAATGTGAATCTGGCTGGTAACAGGACATATCCAGTCTGCTCTTGGACTCTGTTACTGCCTTCTACACTTAGTCTCCTTAGTTGTTCTCAGAAAATTTCTTCATTAATACTAATTTTGAGATTCTGGCTTATTAAAATTCGGAACTATGCATTCATTTTCTTGTCCCTCCCAACCTTCCCCAGCTGTTTTCTACTCGTTTCCTGTGGGCTTGCACTTGTTAGGTCCTTCACCTGTATAATTAAGACAAGTGTTGAGCAGCAAATGCAAAAAACCATATTCTTTCGAGCCTTATGTATGATTAAACTAAAATTCCTGTAGGCCTGACAGCAGGTCCAGTCACCTGAGCCTCTCACATGCTCCTGGGATTGGAGGGTAAACTACTTACATGTAGAGACTCCCCTAAAAAGAAAACCTTGTCCTGTGCTACGGTCAATTTACCAACTCATTTGAATAAATGTAGAATGCTACCCTGTTTTAAAATATGTATAGAATGTTTGTCTCAACAAACTCATAGGTTTAATAGAAAATTGCAGTCTTATGGATTTGTTTGTTTCAATGATTGGATATAAAAAAATATTTTAAACAAGGAACTTAAATTAATGAAAGGGAAAATCACAGGTGAAAATGGTCTTTTATTAATCATCATAATGTAATTCCAACTCAGTGTCTGAATGTGCTCTGTATGACTTTAAGGATGGGAGCAATCTGGAGTGATTTTGAGTGATAAAATTACCTGGCTTGCCTGAGAAAGCATCTGTCTTGTGAGATTTTGATCCTAAATCATGCCTGGCATAGTATTAATGGTGCTGGCTACCATCACTGCCAAAGTGAGTTATTTAATTATGTCTGTTATGTTGCCATGTGGGGAACTAAACCGTGATATATGCCTCACAGAGGTACGTAAACAGAGCCTGAGTCTCAAGCGTGGTTCTTCAGAAAGTAGCTGAGCTCACAGAAAGTTATACACAACGAAAGGAGGAAGGTGTATTGCTGTTGTGTAGTATGTACTTAGACATATTCCACTGGCTGAAAAAACACGTGGCAGGATAGATCACAAGGATTTGGGCATATGTACTCCATTCTGTCCCCAATCTTCATGTAATCTGCTGTGATAAATGTATCTGGTGCATCAGGTTGCAAATCAGCCCAAGTTTTACTTGGACCCTTCTTTCAGAACCCTTCATAAAATGATCTCTTGGATGGGAAGTCACAGTGGACACAGCAACTGTTAAATAAGGTGGTTAAGGCAGATTTTTGATTTCTGGACTTTCTTCCAGT